TGTCTGAGGGCAATGCGTGGTGTGAATATAATGCAGAGAATCCGTAGTTTGGAGATTAGGGAGGAGGTGCAGAATTACCAAAACTATTATCCTGAGGGCTGAGGATGGGTTGTTGAGGTGCTTTGGACATGTACCCAGAGTTTACCTAGAGAGGGTTTCGGGGGTCAACGCACCCGCGGCCCGATCTGAAACCAGGCCTCATGGCGGATCAGGGTCTGATCAACCAGGCTGTTACTGCTGGCCACACGCAAGCTGAAGTACGAACCACAGCCAGGTACTGACTTTAGGTGCCAGGGGTCTATTGGTAATCCCCCTTATGTATGCTGGGAGGCAATTGAACAGTCTTGGCCCCCGGACACTTATTGTGTTCTCTCTCAATGTACTCGTGGCACCCCTGCTTTTTATTGGGGAATTGTTGCATCTCCTGCCAAGTCGTTTGCTTTCATATGGAGTGATCTTCGTGTGCAGGTTTGGTGCAGAGAGGATGGAACAAAATAAAATGAATTGGAGAGGACTCGCAGCAATGGTTTCAAGTTGGAAAAATTCAGATTCAGGAAGGATATAAGAAAGCACTGGTTTGGTAATAGAGTTGTGGATGAGTGGAACAAACTCCCGAGTACAGTTATTGAGGCTAAAACGTTGTGTAGTTTAAAAAATAGGTTAGATAAATACATGAGTGGATGTGGGTGGTCCTGACTAGCTTGTACTGGGTGGATGTGGGCTGGACCTGACTAGCTTGCGCTGCTGGGTCTGGTGCCGTGCTCCTTCCTTGAGTGGAGGTGACCAGACTGGGTGGGTCATTGGGCTAATCCGGGGGATGTGGGACATGGACTTGCTCCACATGGGTCAGTAGGCCTATTGCAGTGTTCCTTCTTTCTTATGTTCTTAAGGTGGGGTAGAGGTCGGCCTAGGAAAGGTTGGAGGGAGGGGGTAAAGGAGGTTTTGTGTGTGAGGGGCTTGGACTTCCAGCAAGCAAGCATGAGCATGTTAGATAAGAGTGAATGGAGAAAAATGGTTTTTAGGACATTACGTGTTGTTGGAGTGTGAACAAGGTAAAATCTGTGAAGGGATTCGGGGAAGCCGGCAGGCCGGACTTGAGTCCTGGAAGTACAGTGCCTGCACTCTGAAGGAGGGGTGTTCATATTGCAGTTTTATAATTGAAGTGTAAGTGCGCCTCTGGCAAGACAATGATGGAGCGAATAATAAAAGTATCTTTTTCGGGCCACCTGTCTTGGTGAGGAAACAGCCGATATGTTAATAAAAATAAATTCGCTCTGGGAATATACATATTCTGAGCATGTTGTACATTGTTAAGAAAGAGTCATAATTGCCGATCCCCTTATTATCGTAAGTACGATCATCGTCAATAAATCATTAGCTAGACAACCCCAGTCGAGACTAGACAGGTTTCTCCCCCAAGTCCATTATGACTGGCAGAAAGAAAATAGAGTACCCTTGGCGCAAGTGGTCACTTGCGCCAAGCTCTTCTGTGATCTCTAGATTTACGAGGGTTTCCTTATTTGACAAGAATAGGTTGAGTAGATTATCACTTTTAGGCTTTGTTATAAACTGCTTCAGAAAGCAGCCCTGAACTTCTTCCGGGAAGTCATTGGGCTCCAGATTACCGGTCAAAGAAGTCCAGTCAAACTGACTAAATTTAATATCCCCTATTACTAAGTTACAGTGTCTAGAAGCCCTAACAATTTCATCCCAAAGTCGTCTCCCTCAATCACTTTCTAAGTTAGGAGGTTGGTATATTACACCTAAAATTAGCTTGTCTTGGCTTTCTAGAAACTCGGCCCAAACAGATTCTATGTCTAATCCATCGATTTTGATATCTCCTTTTATGAAACAATTTATATTTTCTCGAACATATACTACTACTCCACCCCACTTCCCATCATGTCTGTCTATACGGAACAACTTAAACCCATGAATATAACACTCAGCAATCATGTTTCGACACTTCAAAATAAACCAAGTCTCAGTTACTACAATAACGTTTATGTTTATAACACATGAAATCAGATGTAATTAGCTCATCTAATTTCTAGCACTTTGACTATTTGTGTAAAATATTTGAAGACTATTTCTCATCTGTAATTTTTCCCTTTTCATCTTTCCTATTCATAATTTATGTTGCAATTATTTTGAATTTTACCTGTTAAATGATAAAGGTTACCCCTAAAATCCACATTATTATGACCCTGATCATTTAAACAGTTCAAATCGCTGCTTCTACCATCTATTTTTTCCCACAATAATCATACATCACAGAGCGCCCTCCCTTCCAAATTACGTCTACTTCAGACCTATACCTGCTAATCATGTATTCATTTCTACATCTGCTAACATCATTGCCTACAGCTTCGAGACAAACAGGACTGCTCCTATTACTTCTCATGATGTCCAGAGAGCTAATAATATCCTACATCCCAGCCCCTGGAAAACACACCCTCTGCCTTTTCTTCCTATTTCTAATACAAAATGCCTTATCCATAAACTTAACCTGTCCCTAACTAAAACGTTCTTACCTTTGCTAGTGTTTACAATGACGTTCTTGACGGTGCTCATAGGGATGGTCTTCACTGGGATGTCCTGAACTGTTGATGCACACTCATCTGTCAACAGAGAGAAGGAATTGCTGATCTCCACAGAAGTCTCTTGGACATTCCTTAGCTTAAGCTTCGTCCCATTCGTTCCAACCATTATCCAGTTGTTGGTCATATCATCACTGCAGATTATCTCGACAACGGTGTTCCAGGGATGATCCTTGCACACCCCTTTCAGTCGTTGAATCCCTCTTCTAGCATCCTCTAACTCTTGTTTTAAGCTGGGGATACAGCTGCTCATAATCGAAGGCAGCCAACATCACATTCTCAGCTAGCTAAGAACGGAGAGCTACTAGAGATGCAGGCTAGCTGCGGGGAGTGGAAGCTGCTGCTGGTGAAAGCTACATGAAAAACAGTTGCAGGCTAAATGCTTACGCTGCAGGCTAACTTCTGAGAGGTGCAGGCTAAATTCTAGGAGCATAGGCTATCTCCTAGGAGTGCATACTAGCTGCTAAAAGTGCAGGCTCTCAGCTAGAGAATACAGACAACCTGCTATCAGGTGAAAATAAAAATGTTTCTTTCTTACAGGACGATGCGATTACTACTACTGATATTTCTGCCTTTTGTCCTGGCTGGCTGCAGAATGGCGCAGGCCAAGCTGCCACCACCTGAGAAGTCCTACAAGTTCTTGATTCCCATCCCTGCAGTCATGAGGAACCACTGGAATATGTTCAAGCCTTTCCTCTTAGCTCTGGCTGACCGTGGACATAAGGTACAACCTCGGCTCTGTATGTATCTGCGTGTTCCTTAGTTATTATTGTTGTTATTAATTCACTGCAGTCGTTGTAGTAATACAGTAGTGTGCAAATTAATTGTAATCAGAGTAAATTTTGTGATTATCTCGTATGTCAGTCTCCGGCTTAATTAATGTAGTTTGGGTTCTTTTCTTTTCATAAAAGTTTGCTACTACTTCTGGAAACCATTTAGCTGTGGTGTTATCCTGCATTTCTCGTCAGTGCTACAATAGCTGATGTTCTGTAAGTCTATTGCTGTAAGCGTAAATGTTGATTTTTCATATGCTTAACGAAGGCTCCTTGAAGGTGGCAGAACTTTCAGAAAGACGATGAAGAACAACTGTTGCTATGAATAAAAAAACGGCTGCGGTGGAGATGAATGGAGAAAAATTACATTTTCAGATGAGGTGCATTTTGGAGTACATGGGTACAGAGGTAGTGAAACGGAGCAAATGTGAACCTCTTCGGAATGGATACATTCAACAAACGCCAAAACACCCACCCAAGATGTTTTGGGGTAGTTTTACTGCAAAAGTCCTTGGATAACTTGTTATTGTTGAGGGAACGGTGAACAGAAAAAAATACAAGGCAATCTTGCCAACTCATTTGCTTCCTATTGAGGATAGAGACTTTCCTGATTGAGGAGTCATTTTCCAGCAGGATCTTGCTCCATCCTACACTTTCAAAAAATAACATTCTTCAAAGAGAGTGGGCTAAACGCTCTGAATTAGCCAGGAAACTCTCTTGATGTCAACCCAATTGAGAATCTATGGGCAATAACCAAACACAGGATCGCGAAACAGAACTGTTCGACTGTGAAGAACCTAATAGCTGCTGTTATTAGGACCTGATACCACGATGAACTTGCCAAAGTGTGTTCAACATTCGTCGATTCTATTCCGCAGCGTGTAGCAATGTTTATAAAAGCAAAGGGTAGTCATATCTCTAAATAAATCAATTATGTGACTATGATTGCCTTGTATTTCTCAAATAAGCATTAATTTGCCAAATTAACTGTCTTATTTCATCACTGTCCCAACTGATATGCACACTACTGAAGGAGGGTGACGACAGCCATCATTCAACACCATAACATCCAATACCATAACCACCAGAACATCCAATACCATAACCACCAGAACATCCAGTACCATAACCACCTTAACATCCAATACCATAACCACCAGAACATCCAGTACCATAACCACCATAACATCCAATACCATAACCACCAGAACATCCAGTACCATAACCACCATAACATCCAATACCATAACCACCAGAACATCCAATACCATAACCACCAGAACATCCAGTACCATAACACCAGAACACCCAGTACTATAACCACCTTAACATCCAATACCATAACCACCAGAACATCCAATACCATAACCACCAGAACATCCAGTACCATAACCACCATAACATCCAATACCATAACCACCAGAACATCCAATACCATAACCACCAGAACATCCAGTACCATAACCACCAGAACATCCAGTACCATAACCACCATAACATCCAGTACTATAACCACCAGAACATCCAGTACCATAACCACAATAACATCCAATACCATAACCACCAGAACATCCAATACCATAACCACCAGAACATCCAGTACCATAACCACCATTACATCCAGTACTATAACTACCAGAACATCCAGTACCATAACCACCATAACATCCAGTACTATAACCACCAGAACATCCAGTACCATAACCACCAGAACATCCAGTACCATAACCACCATAACATCCAGTACTATAACCACCATAACATCCAGTACCATAACCAACAGAACATCCAGTACCATAACTACCAGAACATCAAATACCATAACCACCATAACATCAAATACCATAACCACCATAACATCCAATACCATAACCACCATAACATCCAATACCATAACCACCATAACATCCAGTACCATAACCACCATAACATCCAATACCATAACCACCATAACATCCAATACCATAACACCAGAACATCCAATACCATAACCACAAGAACATCCAATACCATAACCACCATAACATCCAATACCATAACCACCATAACATCCAATACCATAACCATCATATACATCCAATACCATAACCACAAGAACATCCAATACCATAACCACCATAACATCCAATACCATAACCACCATAACATCCAATACCATAACCACCAGAACATCCAATACCATAACCACAAGAACATCCAATACCATAACCACCATAACATCCAATACCATAACCACCATAACATCCAGTACGATAACCATCATAACATCCAGTACCATAACCACCATAACATCCATTACCATAACCACCATAACATCCAGTACCATAACCACCATAACATCCAGTACCATAACCACCATAACATCCAGTGCCATAACCATCATAACATCCAGTACCATAACCACCATAACATCCAATACCATAACCATCATAACATCAGTGCCATAACCACCATAACATCCAATACCATAACCATCATAACATCCAATACCATAACCACCATAACATCCAGTACCATAACCACCATAACATCCAGTACCATAACCACCATAACATCCAGTACCATAACCACCATAACATCCAGTACCATAACCACCATAACATCCAGTACCATAACCACCATAACATCCAGTACGATAACCATCATAACATCCAATACGATAACCACCATAACATCCAGTACCATAACCACCATAACATCCAGTACCATAACCACCATAACATCCAGTACCATAACCACCATAACATCCAGTACGATAACCATCATAACATCCAGTACGATAACCACCATAACATCCAGTACCATAACCACCATAACATCCAGTACCATAACCATACATCCAGTACCATAACCACCATAACTCCAGTACCCTAACCACCATAACATCCAGTACCATAACCACCATAAACTCCAGTACCATAACCACCATAACATCCAGTACCATAACCACCAGAACATCCAGTACCATAACCACCATAACATCCAGTACGATAACCATCTAACATTCCAGTACCATAACCACCATAACATCCAGTACCATAACCACCGTAACATCCAGTACGATAACCATCATAACATCCAGTACCATAATCCACCATAACATCCAGTACGATAACCATCAAAACATCCAGTACCAAACCACCATAACATCCAGTACCATAACCACCATAACATCCAGTACGATAACCATCATAACATCCAGTACAATAACCACCGTAACATCCAGTACGATAACCATCATAACATCCAGTACCATAACCACCATAACATCCGGTACCATAACCATCATAACATCCAGTACCATAACCACCATAACATCCAGTACCATAACATCCAGTACCATAACCATCATAACATCCAGTGCCATAACCACCATAACATCCAGTGCCATAACCACCATAACATCCAGTACCATAACCACTATAACATCCAGTACCATAACCATCACAACATCCAGTACCATAACCACTATAACATCCAGTACCATAACCATCATAACATCCAGTGCCATAACCACCATAACATCCAGTACCATAACCACTATAACATCCAGTACCATAACCACTATAACATCCAGTACCATAACCACCATAACATCCAGTACCATAACCACTATAACATCCAGTACCATAACCACTATAACATCCAGTACCATAACCACTATAACATCCAGTACCATAACCACCATAACATCCAGTGCCATAAACCCCCATAACATCCAGTACCATAACCACTATAACATCCAGTACCATAACCATCATAACATCCAGTGCCATAACCACCATAACATCCAGTACCATAACCACTATAACATCCAGTACCATAACCATCATAACATCCAGTGCCATAACCACCATAACATCCAGTACCATAACCACTATAACATCCAGTACCATAACCATCACAACATCCAGTACCATAACCACTAACATCCAGTACCATAACCATCACAACATCCAGTATCATAACCGCCATCACAACATCCAGTACCATCTCATTGTCACCATAAATCTACAAACATCGTCCCATCGTGATAAAAATCTCAAAGAAAACACACCTTTTACAAGGGACCATAACTACCATTGTCATCTTATTATAACAACCAGAATCATAATATCCCACATAACCACCCATCATATAATCATCAAATACAATACCTAATCATTCATCACCGTAACAACCACTATCAGCCACCATCACATCATCCACCACTATAAACCACTGCCATGAAACCACCATCGAACCATCACCATAACCACCATCGAACCATCACCATAACCACCATCGAACAATCGTCCCATAACCACCATCGAACAATCGTCCCATAACCACCATCGAACAATCGTCCCATAACCACCATCGAACCATCACCACCATCGTATCACCATAAAAATCACAATTATCAGTTAACACTTCGGTAACATATTTACTTTGTCTCTGCATTAAATTAATGAAGACCCTGGTGGGCGAAACGTTTTCAGTATACCGGCCCATGCTAGGTATCACCATCACCATAACACTACAATGATGACAATACTATAACAACAATTAGCACCATCACTTCATTCTTGTAAAATATATAACACCACCACACCCTCACTATAACCACTATTATTGTAACATATCAACCTAATCATCACATTATCACTATAACAATCACTATTGTACCACCATCACAAAAACTACCGTCTGCATGTGTAGTTATGGTAGTATTACTGACAACAATTGGAAGGATAACAGACATATACATCTAAATGAGAGATTTATGAAGACAATGTTTCGCAAACCAGAGGTTTTGTTATACTCGGATGCCCATTACCTGGATACAATTGGAATATTTAGGTTAGGACAACAACAACAACAGCAGCAGCAGCATTAATCATCATCAATCATCATCAGCATCATCAGCATCAGCATCATCAGCATCATTCGTGTTTGAAGTAGGATTTGT